TTCCCTGACCAGGCATGTGAATTAACTTACACATGAACCAAAACGTTTTGTGTAATGATTACATCCCGGTTACATTCTGTGTACATATTACATCCCGGTTACATTCTGGGTACATATTACATCCTGGTTACATTTTGTGTAATTATTATACCCCAGTTACATTTACACAAGAATAAGTTCTGCTAGATTTGCATTGCTGTAAACTCTGTAATGTGTTTGATGTCACTTTCTTCTTTAGACGTTCACAAAAATAAACACAAAAGGTCTTGAGAAGATTTTCAAGATAGATGTTTTCCTCCTGTATTACCTGAGAGACAACCCGAAAGCATGTAAAGTATTACAGAAGCAACTCTCATCTATCGGCTGCACAGTGAAGTTAGATTTTGAAGAGGAGGAGGCTGTTGTTAGGGGGGATGTTGAGAAGGGGCCTGGAGGAGCTTTTGGTGCTGCACAAAAATGGGAGTTACAGGTGGATCAGGTCTTCATCGGTCTGACTGAAAGATACCTCTGCTATCATGTGCTTCAGCCAAAGCAAATCAAAATCCTACTGCAGGACCCCTCCTTTGTGACTGACAATATCCAAGTCTACACAGAGATCGGTTATTCTGTGGTTGTGGGAGAGACGGAAGCTGTGAAGGAGAAAATTGCACTCCTGGAAAAGAATACACTAATCTGGAAGGAACTGCCAATTGGAGAGAAGCAGTTCAAACTGATAGAAGAAGAGTTTAGTCGAGAAATGCAAACACATTGCCCAGAAGTTAAAATGCACAGAGGTAATGCCATGATCACCTTAGAGGGCCCTGACAACCAGGTGCAGTCAGGAGCTACAAAACTTGGTGACCTGATGAAAAAAGTAGTTGAAAAGAGAGTGAAGCTTCCAACAGATTTGATGGTCTTCATAAAATCCAGTGATGCCATCTCCAAGTACCAGGCTCGTTTTCAGCAGAGCCTCAGAAATCCTGTTTTCCTAGAGGCTGGATCCGACCTGGTCCTGTCCAGTTTGTCCTCTGGCGCTCTGGACGAGGCTGTGGCAGCAATAATGAGAGACCTGAGTGTGGACACTGTGGAACTGCAGGGTGCTGCAGCTATACCTCCAGATTTGGACAAAGTGAAGGAAATCCTCAACAAAGCTAAGAACACGGCAAATGTTCGAGAGTTCAAAGTGGACATCAGCTTCATCCCAGGACTCAGTGGAACCACAGGGACTAAGGTACGACTTGTGGGGTACAGTGAAAATGTGAACAAGCTGAAAGAGGTTCTGCAGGACTACCAGATGAACCAGGTCAAGACACAAGAGACACTGAATCTGTCTCCTGAACTGGTTCACTGCTTTGATAAAGTATTAGACCTGATTAGGATGAAGCAGACCAAGGTGACATTAAACGCCTCACGTTTTCCATGTGCTTGTGTGCTCATTTCTGGCCCTCGTTGCCTGGTTCAGGAAGTTAAGGCAAACTTAAGCACAGCTCTAGCCAGTCTTATATCAGACACACTGATTTTTGATGGACCAGGGGCTCAGCGGTACTTCCAGTCAGACGGTAAAGTGAGCAAGGAGCTGGTGGAGAGTTCTTATCATGTTCTCATCACTGAACAGCAAAAAGTGGACTCCCCAGATGTGATAACTAGATTACCAAGTATGAGCAGTCTCATCAACGTTACACCCAGACCTCCCATCACAAAAAACACTACTGGGAGCATGGTGGTCAACAAACCAAATCTGGAGATCAAGCTTGGCAGCTTGGAGTATGAGCAGGTGAGACTAATTTTACTGTACTTTACATCAACTAATAATACAGAAACGCCACACTCACATTCATATTCTTTCACATTATTTTCACAGGTGAATGTGTTGGTGGTCCCCATGCTCAACAAAGAACTGACTTCTACTAATGTTGGTGCAGATCTGTTGAGTAAAGCAGAAAATACAATGAAGTCAAAGTTTGACTCGGTGGCAGCAGGGTGTTCTCTCACCCCTGCACAAGTCTGTTGAGTAAAACAGGAAATACAATGAAGTCAAAGTTTGACTCAGTGGCAGCAGGGTGTTCTCTCACCCCTGGCGACATTCTGCAGGTTGATGCACCTCCAACTCTGGGCTGCTCCAAGCTCCTCTTCATTGAGTGTCTGCCTTGGGATGGTGTCAGAAGGCAGAGTGTGCAGGTACAGTAACACCTGGGGATCCAAAGAAAACACTATCACTGAGGGCAAAGGATGACTTCAAATTCAAGACACATTAACTGGCACAAAACCAATGAAATGCATTTCATAGCAGTGCGACTGAAGTGCAGTTGCCAGGAATTACTATAAATCTTTATGAGGGTGACTGAGGATTTGGACATTTCCAGTGCTGTCGTTCAGGCAGAAACTCAACATTGTTTTCATTGATTGGATCCAGATGATATTAAGGCTGTGCTCGAAACAAACTTTTTTATACAAAGTGTTGTCTGAGCATGTCTAACAGGAAAAAGTGGTTGTACAGTAGCTGTTCCACTTGGCCACATTCAAAGTCTCTCCTCAAAGGTATTTTTGGTGCTGTGCTTCATTGTAAACAAAACCGTAGGAACTGCTTGATGACTTGTTAGTTTTGGCCACAGTATGTAACCCATACGACCTGCCCCACTCTCCAACAGCATCCCGCTAAACAATCCAACATAACTCTGAAACATACTGAGGCCTTTAGAAGGTTAACCTTTAAGATGCTAATCAAACACCCTACTGTATGGACTACTATTTTGAACCTGGAACTTTGTATGTCTAAACAGTATTTTCTGTTCTTTTTTCATTAGCCTTTAGTCAAAATTGATTAAATCAGAAAAACATGGTTCTTCTACTCTCTGTTTCACTCTTACCGCTACAAACTCTACATAACTGCAGTCGGTTCTATATTGGCATACTTCATATATTAACTTAGAAAGATTGTGCAACTCAGGAGGAACCTCTGAAAACATTCTTATAGTGTCTGATTTTTGTTTTGTAGGCTCTTGGTAACGGACTGAAGAGGTGTCTGGACTTCTGTGTGCAGCAGAGCTGGTGTTCAGTGGCCTTCCCAGTTATTGGACCTGGAACTGTGTTAAAATACCCACTAAGAGAAGCCATTCAAGTGCTGACTGACAAGATTCATGAGTTTGGACTATCTGCATCCTTTGGGTCTCTCTCCAACATCCATGTCGTCATTAAACCTGGCTATCCTGACTCTGAGGAGGTGACTAGCAACGACTCCTGTAATTATTTTGTCAGATGCATGCATGAATTATTGATGTGTTTAATGCTGGCATTTTGATTTACAGTGCTACCATGATGTCTACACAAACCTCAGCTTAAATATGAACCAGGGAGGCCAAGGTAAACCAGACACTAATTGATTAATTAATTAATTAATTTGTAACATAAAATTCAGCCAAGAATTTATTTCTTTTAAATGCTATTTTTAAACAGTGGTAAACTGTTAATACTTGTATGTTATACTTACTTACAACATGAGCATCCCCACTCATCAGATTTAATATCAGACAAATATGAAACATGTTCTCTTCCTCTCAGCAATCTTCAGGTCCCTCACCAGTGACCTGGATGACATCACCATGACAGTGGGCAGTGGGGCTAAACTACAGCTGGTGTTTGGTGACATCACCAATGAGATTACAGATGCCATTGTGAACACGACCAACTTTGCTAATCTTGACACTGGTAAGCCCATGTTGTAACTGTAGCTGACTTCTGTCCAGACTGAAATATTACAACAACCTTCACATGGACTCCCATGAATTCATTTACACATACAGTATATCCACGGTCCCCACAGCATGAACTGTAATAACTTTGCTCACCTTATAACAATGAGCATGATTATCAGGTTAATCATTCAATCTGTCTCAATACTGTACCTGCAAAAAACTACCAATCCCTTGTAATTTGTATTTAGTGCCTGCAAAAAAACTGCCAATCCCTTGTAATTTGTATTTAGTGCTAATTAGTCAACATCATATCTGTTTAACATCAGTATGTTAGCATTGTCATTGTTAGCAGCTGCTGGCATGACTGTAGATGCTTAATTTTATTCAACTGTAAATGTCATCTTTACTTTACAGATGGCGTGTGCAAAGACATCTTGACCATAGCTGGACCAGAGGTGGTGACTAAAGTGAAAGCAGGTGAGTAAAGGTCAGGTAAACATTTTCACAAAATGCACACTTAACAGCTTCTTACTTGTCTTGTCTTTGTTGTACTGTAGCAAAAGTGAAGAAAGGAGAGGTTTTCAAAACCCCACCTGGATCATTCCCCTGTAAAGCCATTTTACATGTGTGTGGAGAAAAGGATTCAGTCATCATTGAACAACTAGTGTGTCGCATAATTCAAGACTGTGAAAATTTTAAATACAAGTCTGTGGCCATTCCTGCCATCTGTGCTGGTAAATACTTTGTAATGCACTAATCTAATTGTTAGTTTTGCTATTCAAGTCAGTGTCAGTTTTAATTCTGCCAGTAAAAGAATCAAATGGTTTGTGCAGGAGTTGGTGGGATGGACCCTGGTGTCGTGGCTCGAGCCATCCTCCGAGGGGTCAGAACTGCCACATTGTCCACTCCCCTTCACAGTCTCACTGACATCCGCCTTGTCCTGATTAAGATCAATGTCTTTTTGGCATTTAAAGTGGAGGCAATGCAGGTGTTCTCCACTGCTGTAATAAATAGAGGTGAAGGTCTTCTTTGTTTGCATTTGCTTAGAAAGTTGTCTTTTTATTGCAGTTCTCTGTTGTGGATTTTCACTGACTGTTTATATTTGACCCACCTCACAGTGTCAATACCTCATTTGCCTCAAGTTCAACAGCAACAGCCACCACCATTGGAGAATACAGACCTAAGCCTCCTCCATACAAGCTCCACAAATCAGCAGTCTGTCTTCAGGTTCCTGGGTCTTGGCAGAAAGGAGGTCGATGATGCCATGAAGAAGCTGAAAGATCTGTATAACAGTCAGTGCTCCACACAAACCTTCACAAGGGAGCAGCTGGAAGGTCTCACCCAAAACAACATAGATGACATGAAGCAGTTTGTGGAGAGGGAGGGTCTGTTCATTCAGAGAGACCAGTTTGACCAGGGCAGGTTAAACGTGACTGGGTTAAAAGATGGAGTCAACAAAGTAATGCAGATGATTAACGCATCTCTGCATGGCTCCCTTAGTAGAGAGAAGAGAATCAGGGGCGAGGAGGATTTGTACAGCCGTGTATCGTGGTGCATCCAGGGACCTAATGGCAACTGGGAGAGGCTCCCCAAAACAGCCAATCACAAGCTGGAAAAAGGTGATATAGCAGGAGGGATAGTGAATGCACAGGGAATCTCATGGAGTGTGGATCTACATATGATGGAGGCCCAAAAACTAGCAACTGGAGACAAGGAGAAGGTGAAACTGAAACGACTGGAGAATCTCCCAGGTTTGTTTGCACAGGAGAACTGGGCTTGACTGATACTGGAGCTTGAGACCAATCACAGTACTGATACTCAAGATTTATTTTTAAGTCAGTATATACAGCATGTTATGATTTTGTATTAAATCACAACAAACACTTCTTGTAATGATATTTTATATTTGAACTACAGATGTAGTTGTAGATGCACTTATGAAAGGTCTAACAGTAAATTTAATTTAAACTTAACACATTTTAAAATGTTAAACATCGCTAAAAGAATACATACACATAAAAGTAAACTGACTGAAAACATTTTCTGACTAAAAGAAAAATGTACAGAAAACGTAATCTGACTGCTCATTTTCCAGACTTCACTCTCCCTGTGTACTGGGACAACATGGCTGCTGATGAGCCTATCAAGGTGGTCACTCTGCAGCGTTCCTCGGCAGAGTACAAGAGGGTGAAGGAGGTCTTCAAACGAACTGTCCACAAGACTGTAATGAAGGTGGGTGGCTTACCCCAGAGACACAGACCGGACAAGGCCATGTTCTATTTTTTTCAGCACCCCTGTCTCATATTTATGTGTACGCAACAATCTTACTTCCGGAAAAGTTTTGAAACCCCTGGGGGTGCGGGAGAACGGAAGGGGTATGCCCTATAAACAGTTTGAAGTTGGTTATTAAATTGGTTCACTTCTCAACTTAAGGAGGCAATTAAAGTATTTATTGCCACTACTTGGGTTGAAATTTGTAGGTTATTCTCCCGAGTCATTGTCATATCATAACACACAGACATGATATGTCCATTAGGAATTAATGTGCACACACCGGAAATCCGCATAGAAATCAGACTAAATACGTGAGCTTCAAGATAGGTTCTCTGAGATTATTCACATTTTAATTTTTCTTACTCTCTGTGTAGTCCAGAGATATTTGTCTGTACATCGTTGAGCACATTTTAAAAAGTAACTGCTAAAAGGTATTTCGGCATTTTTTTTAATAATGTCATTTTACCAGAATTGTCTAGGCTAAATAATGGTTAGCCCACTCCTAACGGAGTTCATGGCAACATTTCTCTTCCTGTTTAGGCCTCAAACAATGGGAAATGTAGTTCAAAACCTTACAATAGGATTATCCCCCAAACTGAAGTAAGACAAAATATAAAAGAATTACTATTGGTATAATAATACATTCATATATCCGATTAACATTGTTCTTGTATTCTTTAAGCACTGCTACTCCTCTATCCACAGCTGTCTCCATTTTTGATGAGGAGGGCCCATGCTTTTAGACTTTGAAAACACCTCAATTAAATTAATGTTTTTTTTTCACAGGGGATGCTTCATTAGTGCTATGCATAAAATGACACAAATGCATACATTTTGATATTTGTTATAAATGCTACACACTTCAAATGAGTCCACATACAGTATTTATTTATCCTGCCACAAGAAGTTTGGTAGCTCACAAATTTTTTTTGTCTTTATCTTTCTTTTTAGATTGAGCGTTTGCAGAATATCCACCTGCGTCGTGCCTATGAGGTGCGGAAGAAGCATATTTCTGATAAGAACACACAACAGGGCGGAGCAAATGAAAGGCTCCTGTACCATGGCACGACCCAGGACAACTGTGACTCCATTATGAAAACTGGGTTCAACAGGAGCTTTGCTGGTCAAAATGGTAAATCAGGATCAAAATAGTGTGATCTGCGGACTATGGCTGTTCACTGTTGTTGCCTCTGTTTGAAAAGGCATCATCACCAAAGGCAGGACAGGAATATCAAGAAGTTTAGAGGAAAAAAATTACTGTATGCAAAATTTTGTGAGTAGTTAGCCTACTGGTTAGTATCAGTGCCAATAGAAACAAGACTTTTGAGATAATGTCTCATGTATTTTTCCTGGAAGTCTGGGAGGAATAGGATTCAGTACTTTCCCACCAGCTACAAGGCTTTGAAACAGTATTTAACTTGAAGAAAGGGAAATAAATGTAAAATATAATTTAGAATACCATACAGACTTTCTCCTCCTGTTTCTTTGTACTCTATTTAAAATGATGGGCAACAGCAAGCAGTCTTTGGTTTAAATGCTTAAAATGATGCTTGATACATTTTCTTGAAGCTTTCCCTAAGGTTTTGGAAAGTACCAAGCACAAATAGTCAGTGACAGTGACAGTTTGCATTCTTTGTCAACAATATTGGTTTCATGAAACCATAATCTTTCCCCAACCCTTACCAAGCAGAGTTAATTTACCAAACATTTAACCAAATTGGCAAATGAGAAAATGCTCATATCACTAGTTTTTGTGACAGTCACATGGAAAACATCATTTATGTACTGTATGTGTACTTAATTCCATTTTTCTCTTATTCTCAGCAACTGTATATGGTCAGGGAACCTACTTTGCTGTAAATGCCAGCTACTCGGCCAACCCCACCTACTCCAAGCCAGCTGCTGATGGTTCTCAGTTAATGTTCGTGGTTCGAGTACTGATTGGCGTCTTCACTGTGGGCAACAGAAACATGAAGGTGCCTCCTCCCCTCGATAACCAGCAGCCCCATGACCGCTATGACAGTCTTGTGGACAAAATGGACAATCCCAGCATGTATGTTGTGTTTCATGATAACCAAGCGTACCCAGACTACCTCATCACTTTCATGTGACTGTGAGGGAAAGCGATGTATTTTCCACTGTGCAAGACCATAAGTGTGGAAAAATACAAGAAAGGTTTTAAGAATAATATAAAATGGTTATGATTTCACACAAGAATACACAGTTATATACAGTGGTGTGGAGTAACTAGTTACATGTAACTAGTTACTGTAATTAAATATCATTGTAATCAGTTACTGAGAAAAATACGTAATGAAATTACAGTTACTAATGAAAATATTGATGATTACAAAGTGGTTACATTTGACTATATTATTTTTGGTAAGATATGTATGCGTTTATATATGTGTTTATATATGCATTTATATATACTGTAACACTGATTCTGTCACCTTCCTTTGGCATATTTCCAGACAAGGCAGGTCAGCAAAGCCGTTGGGACAAATAACACCATCATGGGTAGCATGGCTCGCAAGGAGCTGTCTTTATATCGAGATAGGCTCCACTCATTTGACAGTGTGCATTACATTTTTAACACTACTTCTGATTGGTTCTCTTGCTTGACTTTGGACCGCCTCTTGTCTGACAATCAAATCAACGCACATTGCTCTAAGCAACCCGACTACCATGTCTGGCTGCGACCAACTGACAACGCCAAGGCAGGTGGTTGTGGTCAGACAAGAACGCTTTTCAGTGCTGAAATTTCAACAGTATTTTCTTTCTGAAATCAGAAAAAAAGGTTTTGCCTGGTGCCTGTTCATGTCTAACCAGTAAAATATTATGTAACTGAAGTTGTATTGATGAACAGTACACTATCACAGGTCCTTCCTGCTGCTGTCAGGCTGTACAGCCAACACTGTTCCCAGCGAGTGCTCAGCAGATCATTGTGCAATATTAGTTCTACTTTTTATTATTACATTTACATTGTTTTTATTAAGAATACACTGTATTTCTTTTTATTCTTAACACTGTTTCTATTCCTCTGCTGCTGTAGCTTTGTGAATTACTCTGTTGTGGGACCAGTACTGTTGAGGTTTACACTACCTGGTTTAAATTTATGTTAGAAGTTTTAATTTTTTAGAAAATTAATCATAAAGTAATTAAAGTGATACATAACTTTAACGCAATTAAAATAAATTAAATGAAAGCTGCTGTGGGTTCCTTCTCTGCCATAGCTCGCTAGCTTTAACTCTAAAACAGAACAGTAACACATTTACCTGCAACTGCAACACCTTGTGGGAGACGCTTGGCTCGTGCACTGAGTGCAAGGGCAGAGCGCACACAAGTAGGAGGTTAGGTTGACAGGCAGGTAGTCCATCCAGTGGTTTTGCTTTGGACAAGTAAAATTACTGGGCAGGCTTTTTTCAGCCCTGCTGCTGCTACAGATGATGGATTCTTTTCTTTATGTTGTCATTGCACTTAATGTGTTCATTACCACCGGGATGAAAACAGAAATTCAAGAAATGTAACAAAAAAATGCTTCAGGAAGGATTCACCGACCCTACCTTTAACATGTCCAAGTCACAGCTTGGGTATTTGCAGGCTAATTACTCTGCAAATGAAAATGGTTTACTGTTACACTTCTAGTCTCTAAATTAGATGATGCACTTTTTCCGGATTTTGAGACAGAGAATGATTCATTTGCTTCATTGATGAAGGGATTGGATTTGTTTTGAAAGTCATAGTTTCTGTACAAATTTAAGCATTAATAAAACATTTTCAAATCATTAATGGGTGTCACTATAATGTTTTGGACTTGGTTTCTAATGAAGTAATGATGGAATATGACCATTTCACCACTGACTAACAAACATGGAGACTTAATAGACAACACTGTCACAAAAGTATGCAGTTGTTAATTTTTTTTATTTGGGTGTTGACTGTTTTTCGACAAAAAATGGGGGGAAACTGATTATATCGCTATAAAGAAATACTTTGCTCAAATAGAAACATTAATACTAAAATGAAACATAGCATTTAAATCAATTGTTCATACAGAATTATGCTGCTTTATTAGTGTCTGAAATTTTAGTCTGTTACTCACTAGTGTGAAATATTGAATTATATAGCCAGTAGTGAATGCGGGAATGTGGATGTGATTTCAGAGACACACTGTGTACTTTTGAATACATTTTTTTTATCATTAATATAAAAGGTTTTCCCAAAACATACTTTTTCATAAAAAAAACAGAAGTCTGAGATGACATTGACACTTCTGTTCTAAATGCTGAAGCTACTGGATACCTGTTAAACAGTTATATACCAACAGTTACATATAAGTACGCACACATTTATGCTAAAGTGTAGCCAGATTAGTGATGGTGGCACCAGTGGTCCTGCAGCAATCCTCAAGGCTCGATGGTGACCGACGCCTGGCCGTACACCTGCCTGAGAGCAGGACAGTCCAGAGTAGCAATCACCCTGGTGGAGCCAGACCTCTGTGGGATGAAAAACTCGGTCCAGATCAAAGAGGAGCCTGCTGCAATTATACTGAAACCAGAAGGGTCAGCGTTACATACCAGGAGGCTTATTTTACAGCCATTATTGGTTTTAAATGATAGTCAGAGAGGTCAAAAGTATTGAATCAAGATAAGACACAATATTTTGAAATTGGATACCACCCTAGTACCTCATGAGCTGGAATTTGTGACATAAAAGAAGTCATTTCACACCCCCTTTGCAAGAGAACATTTGTAAGTAGTGAACAACAGTTCAACAGTACAACATAAAACACCTATTTATTCTGGTTGAGCTCACCGGTAATATTTAAACTTGGGCAGCATGACCCCAGGTCCTTCCATGCGAATGTAGACGTCCTCCAGGCTAAAGGAGAAGAGGTTTGTAAACTGCACAGTCGCCAACATCTCATCATTCACTTTGCCTCCCCCAGACACCTGAAGTACACACAGGATATACATTCTAAACCAAACAGTGTTTGTTAGTGTAGCAGTCAAGTTAATGTGACATTTTCTTGTTTGGCTTTCAATAATGTTTATGAAAATGGATGCCATGAGTGTGACTGTAGAAAGTGTAATTCTTTATACAGTAAATAAAGTGGTAGTTAGACTGTAGAAAGTGTCATTCTTTATACAGTAAATAAAGTGGTAGAAGTGAGTTATTGCATTTGATTCCATGCAAAATGGAATAAAATGCCAAATTTCAAATATTCTCAAGAATCATTTCAGACCTCGACGATCAGTTTGGGATTGTGCAGGGTAATGACTTTCATGGCAGTGACAATCTGACCAGTCTCCTTGATCTTCCCAGTCGCGATGAAGTGAAGGTTGGCCTGTTCCACCAGATGTTTCATGTAGAGTTTTGCTTGGACAGCCACCAACTCAGTCACAGCTGCAGAACACAAAATACAATACTGCTCTCTCTGCATTTGGTCTTTTCATTCTTTTACTTGCATGAGTAATATTTTGAATCTAAAGCACATGCAAAAAATGTTCAGATTCTAAGCTTTATAAGATAAAGGACTGAGCAGTGAGTGTTTTCCTGTGTTGACTTATAGTAGTTTTAATGATGTCCAATCATTTGTAAGAGTTCTCACATATTCTAAACAGTGTAGTGTATGTTTGTTGGTTATGCTGTAAGGATTTTGTTTGATTATGACACAAATAAATTCACAAGTTGCTTTCTCACCTTTGTTGGGCTCAATCATCACCTTGGGAGTCCTGAACAGGAACTCAGAGCTGCTGACTCCAGTGTAATACATCACGCTCCCGCTGATGTAGGCGTCCAGAGTGCGCTGCTGGTCACTTCGGTTTACAAACTCCAGGCTCAGCTCAAAGTCGTCACCCACACTGATCTCGAGAGTTGGCAGGACCAGATCCACGTCAGGCAGAGGAGGGTTGGACTTCTCTCTTTGGCAGCCGTACTCCTCTGCTTTTTCTAGTACAGTCCGCTCCTCTGTGCTCCCTGGGTTACATGATTAAAATAAATTTGTGTGTTTGTACATTTCTGAAATTTAAAAGGAGAATGTCAGTGTTTTTCTTTCCTGATTTTCATACTGTATTTAGAAATACTAGGACTTTTTCTTTGCTTGAAAGGAAACTATCCTCTGTCCCCAGTAACAAATTGCCCAGTGTTGTAGTATTGTGATTCTTTTAGAACTGCCAGCTCTGGTAAAAGTCAAGCCAGAATCATGCTAACTGGAGCTGAGGGCCCAAATTTAAACCCCAGGATCCTTGCTATATCTGGCAGCCACACCAGAACACAGCTGACCATGCCAGCACTCAGCCACTTTCATTCCAGTTTAATTTACCACCTGACATTTCTGCACAGTATTAAAACATTTTGACTTAGGAACTCCTTGATAATCCATCACAGTAAACAAGAAGTTACTGTACCTTAACAAATGTTGTTATTGTGAAACCATGTGCAAGATAAATGTTTCATGTACATATTTGAAGTTATGCTCAGATACAGAAGATTGGCTCATTCCTTTGTAATTATTCGTCTTACACTTATTGTCACAGAAGTTTATATAAAACAGGCCATTTTGTGTATTTGTTTAAATCAGAAGGCTGCTGCAGAGACAAAGTGCTTCTGCCCACTTCTTGAACACAATGATTTGTGTTGGATGGAGTCACTGACCTTCAGAAAACTTGTACTGATTGGTGATGTCGCGGCGGGTCACATCCCCAGGAGTTTTGGTCAAAACCAGGCGGCCTACGTGACTCCGGTTCACTTGCACTGGTTTCATGGTCCCGTCTTTCCCCCGGGAATGAAACACCACATCGCTGTTGACCTGTTGTGGAAAAGACAGTGAGTCTCCCCAAAGCTCAAGATACACAATCACTGTGGCATTGCAGATGATAAACTAAACTCTTTACCAAAAATGACACTGAAATAATAAAATAGAAAAACTCACCTCAGCAAACACAAAGGCAGCATCAAAAGGGAAACATATCTGCCCATGTTTGATAGCCTGGACTGATGCAGGGCCACATCTGTACATGCCTTGAAGGATAATGGAGGAAGAGATTAAGTATTAATGTTCCATATTGACTTTGATCCAGACTCAGAACAGCTGTCCATTCATTACAGTGCAGTTATTTATAGAATATACAGTACAATAGCATTGGTTCACTGGTGTCTGGGATTACACTGAAAATAATTGGACTAATAATTAATATATGTCACAATAACCCATAACCTATTATTATTTTTTATTCTTTTTTTAAATTAATTTTGAATGTACAAAGCCAGCAGTTATTTCATACTATTACTATTTACCATCGCTGGTCTCCTGTGGTGTTGCATCCACAATCTGCCAGCCTCCAAAGCCAGGTGGGAGGTCTGGTCTGGTCATGTAGCACTCATTCCAGCAGTGATAGTTCCTGAACAACAGCAAATGTTATTTCAAACATCATTAGAGATGTGATGAATTATGATATATCTTGAAGTTCTGGTCTGAAGATGGCACCAGAGCAAAGCTTGTGTAATTTGTGTAAATGTAGAAAAGTTCATCCTCTGAGGAACATGAATGTGCTGAATAAATTTCATTGCAAACTGCAGTTTAGATTTTGATATTCCCTTTAAACAAGTCGAAATTTTGGCCTGATGGGTAAGAACAGGGAGTCACAAAAGATATAAGAATTCATCCACTGGGGATCATGAACGTTCACCTGAGATTTCATTAAAATGTTGCCATTCATTTTTAAATAACCTTCTCATAGATCAGAGTATTAGTGAAGTGGAAATTGTGGTGCTAATGTGACCAAACTCACTAGGAATCAGCTTCTACGGGCCATGAATAGGTTAATATGACCACAAAGTTATGTTGTTTTTCTGTGAATAAAAATGTTTAATAGTACCATTGTGATAGGCTACTTCAGAAATGGGACAAAAATGTAGATGTCAGTGAAGCTGTGGTACCAGATGGAATCCTTGGTGCGACGGCGGTCGATCCTGCCGTTCTCCTCCAAGATGATATCAGTCTTCAGGTTTCCATCATTGTCATGGGCAGAGAAGTAGTTGGTAACAACCCGGGCTGGGATGCCCAGACAGCGCAGGACTGGGACACAGGGCCACAACATTTAATGACAAACAAAGACAGGGTTAAAAGTCTGAGTAGTGAATGGAAAGGAGAACCGAGAGCTCATAAAGAGCCAGAAGGAAGAGTTAGTACATTCAACATGGCTGCCATATGGTGTACTGTTTCATCTGAACACCTGAAATAACAAGTTCCCAGCTGAATGAAATCACCCAAAACATCCAAGTATAATATTCTGTAAATGGTGAGAAAAGGGTGCAGTTATGTTTCCTTCCCTATCTCGTTGCACTTAGGAAGCACAGAAGTCAACCTTCATGAAAGGAAAACGGTTGTTTGTTTGTGGGACAAATACTTCAGGAATTTCCAAATGTGTAGGTTTAGTCAGGGGAACATTTTTACCAACTACTTGGAAAAAAATGTAAAAATGTTTAGATTCTTTAGATCCATTCAAGATCTCACAGGTGTTGAAGACAGCAGCGTAGACCCAGCACTGAGCATAGCGGACAGGCATCTTGCTTTTGGCATAGGTGAGCAGGATCTCTGTGCTGCCAGTCCAGGAAGTGGGTGCCACTCCGTAGGTGTAGTCACCGCTCCAGTTACCCACTAACACACCATCATCATCGCGAGAATTCAGCTGAATAGAAAAACAAACAACAGATTTTAGACATCTATTGTTCTGAAGAAACACAGCACAGTAGTATGCAGCTGTCATAATTAAGCATAGGACAGTGATTTAGAAGCAACCACTAACATAATTCTGTTCAGTTTGACTGCATTCTAAAAACATATGCCTGGATATACTGCAGTTTCATGTGTTTTAGAGGATGTCCATATATATTTTCTCACCATAGCAGAGGCCTGTCTGGTCACTTTAATGGGGTCTCCTCTGTTGGTGATGGGCATCTCAGACCTGTCCAAGATGTACAAACAGGCATCCAGGACTCCATAGTTGAACTAGCAAAAAGAAACTTGTGTCAGAAAGTTTAACTGGTAAACAGGTCTTGGCAGCAGTCAGTCAGTGTTTCTACCACCTGTCCAAAGTTCCAGTTTCTCTCGGCGATGTCTTCGTAGGCACCGTGGTAGACAATCCCCATCTCAGCCATCACACACTCCTTCCTCTCTTCTTCATCATCCAGAAACACAGCGTCATCTGAGGGAAGACAGCGGGTCATGTGTAACAACAGCCAGACCACTGTGTTGCATCTTGTGGTTCAATATAAAAAGTCATGGCTGTGGGGTCTAAACAAACCTGCCACCCAGGGGTTGAAGAGGATGTAAAGGTCTCGGCTATTATCCCGTTTGGTCCTGCGGATGCCAAAGGGTGTCACCACAGCAACATACATGTGGTACTTCCCCACAATGCAGTTTGCTGCAGGAGTGATGCCCATGGTGATCATGTTGTCTGATTTGTTTGTGATGCGGCCTGCCCAGGAGCTCTGACGCTGTTTAGTGGTTGTGACAGGAATGTAGGTGCCCTTGCTGTACTGAGGGCTGGAGCCTGGCAAACAGAGAGCATTGGCAGATTTATGCAAATGAAAACATCTGGCTAGACACTGCATGTAATCTTCCTACAATAAATGAAATATCAGATTTATTAAGAGACAGGACAGAGTGCTAAATTTAGCTTTGATCAAAAAATACCACTCAAGATAAACAATATACTAACAGTGATCCCAGTAATGAACGCTCTGCGTTCTGAGTAAATGGTTCCACAGGATTCATAATGTGAATCTAAGATGGCACCCAATACTAGGTGAGAGAGAAATGGTATTTCAATTTTCTGTATGTCCTGCACATGTGGTGAATTGACAATAAAATCTTTGAACCCTGAACAACTGCTCTTGACATAAACTAGTTTCCATACATTGAGAAGAAGAGTAGGAAACTGATTAACTGTATTTTCTTGTCTTGAAGTCCTTCAAACTCTTAAAAAGTAAAACAGCATTTCCATAACTCATGAAGTTTATAACAAATGATTGGTTTCTACAGGTTGGAAAATATCTCTTCATAATGTGCTGGGCTCACCGATGACAAACTCCAAAGCAAACTTGTCTTCAGCAGGCTTGTATGGACGGTCGAAGGTGATCTTGACCTGGAACTCTTGTCCTCTGCGGACGATAAGGAAGTCTGAGTTGTACATCGCGGTGTGGTGTTCTATCTTGTTGCTCTCATTGGGATGTTTCATCATGTCCACCTCCGAGATGTCAAGAAACTCTGAATGGACAGAGAATGGAATGGATCTCCATGAGGTTTGATGGACAGGCAGAACCTGAGCCACAGAGCAAATGACCTGAATTTCTAATCATGTTGTTTGTTTCTGATTTTTAAATACACTGAAATTCCCATTCAGATTTCATATGCTCATGCACCTAAGAGTTTCTGTTTACAAGAGGATGGTTTACATAAAATTCTTTTACCATGTTTACACCTCATAAAATGCAGAAAGTGAACAAAAAATAATCAGAAAACATGCAAATGTGCAACAAAGTCAATAAAAAAAAGAATGGTTTAAATAGAGTGTGAAACCTTTATTTAACTGCAACATACTACCTACTCCCTAACATCACACCAGAGGGAGAGCAGAGGCCAGACTAAGCTGCACAATTAACATATTTGCCCCTGCTCTAAGAGAGTCTACAGACAATGCATTCATAAATTCCTGTCACATCTGCTGCTCTTTGACAATAATACAGCCGGATGTGCAGTGACAAGCTGCAGGCCTGCTCTTTGACAATAATATAGCCGGATGTGCAGTGACAAGCTGCAGGAAGTGAGTAGAATTTATCCTGTTTGGACGTCATTCATGTGTCAATCATGTGTCAATCATGTGCAAAAGCTACTGGAGAAAGGACTTTATCTTCTCCAGCCCAGACCCACTGTGACATCTGTCTTCTGTTCTGCTCATTTTTGTCATGCATCTCTTGTTCTTTGTGACTATCTTCAATTCTGCTTTTTTGATTGAGAAACAACTGGGTTTTGTCCATTAGCATATTTTATTGCATGTGCTTTCTTTTTCCTTTTGAAGCCAAATTACACACATACTGTCCATACACATTGAAGGCACCACAATGCTCCTCCCTCACCAGTCAGAGGTGGATATCCTCTTGGGCCCGGTGCACCAAAGTACTCAATCTCAGGGATGTCTATAGTGTCAGAGTTGGAGTTGGCGATGGGGTCTGACGTGCGGCCACGGTTCGTCACCTTGGGAGGGGGTCCGCTGGGAGCAGGGGGTGCAGGAGAGGGAGTCGGGGTAGCACTTTGATCAGACATGGTGATGATAGTTCAGGGTGTGTGGTCTGTCACAGGACTGGAACAGAAGGAGAGAGAAAAGGGCTTTCAACACAGTGTTTAATACAGAGTAAGACGTAGGTGAATCTGATGCATGTTTAATCAAATGCAGCCTCCTTGAATTTGGTGTATAAAACATGCTTGTACACTTGTTTTTGTGGTTTGTCTGTGACTAAATTCCTATCATTATTCGTGAATGGTGGGAGAGCTGCTTTCATGCTCATCTGCTTTACATCTGTGGAAAAAGTGGGAACATGCCTGAGTATGTACATGAGAGAAAATGTTTCCTTGTTACCTTTTTTCATGAAGGAAAGTTGTTCAAAATAAAATTGCTGTTAAAGTAAAGCAAGAGAAAATAGCAGTTTGCAAATGATGCTGCTTTAAAAATTGTCATTAAAAGACAATGTGCAACTGACAAACAGTCCTTCTCGTTGATGGAGTCACAGTGGTTCTCTTTTGTATGATGTCATTTTATTATGAACAATAAAAAATGTCCTCCTGCACATTAAATTTACTTAAGAAATTCTGTTGCTTTAGAGTTGTATTAACAGGGCGTGCACATAAGTTGTTACTATTTAACTGATGCACTGATAAAAACTGATGAGAAACATCATTGCAAAATGTAACTTCTTTACTATTTTGAGGTACTTTATTGAAGTATTTCCACTTTCTGTACATTATACACCCACTCCACTTGATTTTAAAAACAAGCTGTGGTCTTTAGTAACTACCTTTTACAGAAGGTTTTACATACAAAGCATAATGATGTATTGTTTTAGAGAATTTACAAATGATTAAATGTGCCATTCCCCAACTAACTACAACAAATAGAGTACCACAAAGTTTATGCATCAGTTAGAATAATTGTGTAGTATAACAACTTTTAGTCTTTTACTTTTCATACATTTTCTGATGGTACTTCTATTCTTAAGCAAAAGGTTGAATTCAGGAGTTTTAGTAGCTTGTGACAGTAGTAGTAGTAGTTTTTTTACTTGTAAAAATATTTTTAGACTGTGGTATTGATCATTTTCTTTAAGGAATGCACCTGATACACATAGCACTTTCACCTAGTGCTTTTATGTGCCAGCTCATTTGTCACCTTGGCCTGCAGATGTCTCTGTGGCACTGCTGAGTAAAACAGAGCTTTCACTGTGCTAAATTATGACTCACGGAGCCAAACCTCATCCCAAACTTCTTGCCCAGCACATACCCACATTATGCAACAGTGAGCCTTATTCTTAGGCAGGTGGCTTGTACCACAAACCTGACACAGTGCGCACCCTACTAATGGTTAAATCAGTCTTACCACATACTTATATATGGCAACAACGCCATGTGTCCCTGACGTGCCGTAGCAGCCCACCCCGCCTCTTGGAAGCTGGTTTAAGGTAGACCCCGTATAGATCGAAGAGTTGATGTAATTCTGTTTTTTTTGCATGTTTTGTGTGTTTCTTGAGTCACACTGACTACACTGAATATAGATCAAAGAGTTGATGTAATTTTGGTTCTTTTGCATGTTTTGTGGGTTTCTTGAGTCACACTGACTACACTGACGGTCTCTGTTACACTGAATTGATGTGTTCACAGCCAGAGCTGAATCCTCCAGGTTGTTTAGATACCACATTGGTCAGTTAGGTTTCACTTTATTTGTTCTCACCTTTATAGACACACTATACTATGAGTATATTAATTACTTAATCATGAATAGACTTTTTCACTTGTGCAACACCCACTATTACAGTTGCTACTACTACTACTGCTTGTACTGTACAAGTACCCTATGCAGTCATATTGAGCATTGTCATTAGAGAAGCTGTAACCACTGTTTTTTGGAAATTTTGGCTTTAAAAATTACTTTAATTCATAGATTTTTTGCTGATTAACTTTCTGTCATCAACTAATCAATTAAAAGACTTCTTCCATCTCGAAATATCAAATTTAATTAATTGTTACCACTGCTTCTACCTGACATTCTAGTATTGCTTGGGCTTGGTATTATTCTTGCTGCTGTAATTCATCATATTGTTGCATATTAGACTACCAGATGTGTGAGATGGACTAACCGGTTATACCCTAGACAATTGTATCCCATGTGGTAGTCCTAATTTTAATGTCACATCACACAAATGTGGATATTTGTACAGCACTCTGTCTCTAAAATTCCTGCCATTTACACTCAGTTTTGGAGGTGTTAAAGTTAAACCAAATAAAATTTATGAAAGTATTATCAAAGTATTGTTCCAAAGAGTCAAAAGTGAAAGTACACATTATAAACAATGGACCCTTGCATTATTATTACTAACGCATGAGCACAAATGCTGCATTTTAATGTTGTACCTGATCCACAGTATCTAGTAACTGTGCAATAGCTGTAAAGCATATGCAGCGGGGTAAAAAGCACAATAGTACAAACGTAAAATTCTACTTAAGTCGAGGCAGTTGGCAGTACAGCAGTGTGAAAATCAGTACAAATCTTTTAAAACATTTTCAACACAGAGTGACAAATGCACCCACATGCTGTTACACAACCTTGGCAAATGCTGACACAGGAGAAACATGCAAGTTGATTTAATTTTAGAACGGAGCCTTTTTGTGCTCACCATAAAAATCTCCATAAACCCCATAAATTACCCCGGAAAAACACAAGTTAAACATATCATACATATGGTATAGTTTTGGAGGCCAAAAATATACATATCAGCCTTCACCAGTGCAGCTTCTGCTGTACAACCTGTTCGGTGAGTTTTAAAGTAACATGTTAAAAAAATATTTTACAGTAACAGTACTATAATGAATATTAATATTAATACTCAGCTTATGACCACTCCGTTATTAGCTTTATTTTCTGTTGGAATATAATGCAGTCCAGTAACCAAACTTTAGGTCAAAGAAACATGCACCAAAAATAGGAACTGCCATAACATGACTCATAATAATGCACAATAGGCTTTGTTAAAAGTTACTTAGAGCCTGTTTCAGAGATTGCACAAGAATGTAGAACTGTGTAAATGATTCTCACATGTACATTATTTCCCATCTTCACATCTGGAAGGTATAAAAAAAACAAAGTGACCAAGCTGCTGAGGAATTTAGCTGCAACAAAACAGTTGCATCAAAGCAGATCTTTTACTTACAAATGCAACCTCGGTATCTGTAAAGTAAGTTTCAGTACAGAGTGGACACACCTCAGATAAAGCTGGAGAGAGAAGCTGCTGTCGGCTGGAGTTGAGCTGCTGCTGGTGCTGCCCCGTCTGGGAGTCTTCTGGCTTCTACTTATAAACCCTACAGGGGTGAGGAAGTGCTTCATGTGGGTGTAACTGGTCAGTATAACTTGTGAGCAGAATGTGGAATCTACCATCTGTGTACAACCCACAGCTGGATGAAGACAGATAAAGTCACTGACTAAGCCAGTCACACTCAGGAAGTTTCTGCTCTGCAGCCTTCAGAGGGGACACAGTTGGATATAGTACATGCATCTTCATCTGCTAGTGGTTAATAATACACAATTAAATGTTCCAAAGAACAGGTGAGCATTCCTATGGATACTCAGTGTTCAAGGTAAATAATGTCTGGCCTATCATTTGGCCCCAGAGAGAGGTATCAGGCTAAATCCTCAGCGCCTCATAACAAGCAACACCATTACTCAACAATAACCTATCCTTAAATACACATCCAGTGATTTCATAGACATAAAAATGCAGGCCATCCTGTTGACTAAAACCCACTGGTACATTATATACACAGTGGCTGTCAGTTTTATCTCTGTGCAGTCACACTAGTCTTCATGGTGCCAAGAAACATCAGAAGACATAATCATGCTAAGCTCCTTTCTGCCCTCTCCTCGCTGTCCTACCAATATTAGATCAACCAGAAGGAAAATATACCAAAACAAACACCTCTGAATAAAATATCTGTATAGTTTCAGCAAGTACATTTACTTATGTACTTTTCAGGTATCTGTACTTTGAGTATTGTCTGCTACTTCACACTTCATCACATTTCAGAGAAAAATATTGTACTTTGTACTCACTACATTGATTTCATACTTTAGTTGCTTTTCAGAAAGAGGTTAATTAAACAAAATACAGTATAATCACAAGATTTATTGATCCTTGGTATAAAATCCACAAGCTACCCAGCAGTAATTCAAATTATAAACATAATTAAATTAATTATGAGGTAGATAAAATCAGCTCCTGCTTTACCAGCTGCAACATTAAATGTGATGTACACAATAATATGTCAGTAATTATAATTGAATAATATGATGTACATCATACTGTGCCATTTTGCATAATGAGTGCTTTTACTTTTGGTATATTTTCTGCTAATATTTTTGTACTTTTACCTAAGTAACAGTTTGAATGCAAGACTTTTACTTGTAACAGAGTATTTTTACATTGTGGCATTGCTACTTTTACTTAAGTAAACAATCTAAGTACTTCTTCCACCACCGATTGTCAGCAACATTAATATAAGTTTAATATGATACATTATTACTGCTGGGAAAGAGAAGATCAGATCAATCCATATAGATTTCTACACATCTTTATGTTTCACTGTTTTGATAAATTCACCACTCTGATCAATACTGAAGTATTGCAAAAACTATTAAATGGGTTGCAATGAAAAAACATGGCTGATTCACTGACTTCTATTCTAGAGCTGTCGTTGAGTCAAAGTTTATTTTGTCCTGTTCACTGGTTTATGAACAAATAGTGCCTATGAAACTACTACTCATCAGCCTCAGCTGTATTTCACATTTTGTACTATTTTGGAAATGTTATAATGTTAACACACAAAACTAAGAAGGTGAACATTACGTGCTAAACACCAGCCTGTCAGCGTAGTACACAAACTACAGCCTCCCAGTGCTCCGATGTTTGTTCTTATTGTTGTTAGTGGGTCTACCATAAATTTTATTTTAGGTTGGAGGGTTCAAAAGGTTTCCTGTAACCTGTAATGATTAAATTTAGCATCGCAAGTTATCCATATTTATCTTGCATATTTATCAAGCGCTGCCTGATGTCTATTTCAGCGTGTTTGTATCAGCAATATTTATTTAGGTAGCATTTATTTTTATTTGTAGTATTGCTCATTTTCAGGGTTTTAATGCTGCCTCTCCTGTCACAGGTGTGGCTGATGTGATGGATGTCCACTCACTTTTCATGGTGATGTGGTTTGGGGTGGCAATGCTTTACTGTACTACTGCGGTGGTTTTATTTCAAGCCTTGGTCTTGGTTTGTGTTACTGTTTCCACAAATAGGATACACTCAACACTCAACCAGTGGGTGTTATGGTTTGACTGTTTGCTCTGTGTTCTTCTCTTGTTTGTTTGTTAGGGTTTTAGTTTTTGTTCTTAACACTGCAAATAGCAGTTATGCAAGAAGTCCCCCACACACTAAATGACAAGACACCCCAGAACAACACAACACCCCTATTAACAGGATGTGTGCCTTTTAAATGACAAGACACCCCAGAATGACACATCACCCCTATTAACAGGATGTGTGCCTTTGAAACGTGTAACAACTCATTGCTGAAAAATACATCTATTCCCCATTTCCAAAAGTAGCATTTATCTTCTTGATTAACCAGTTAATTTCAGGGGCAAACTACTCAGTAAATGCAGATACAAATTTATAAGTTACATTAAAAAGAACAACTGTATGCTTCGTGGTAGAATTTTTTGGGGCTGTTTTTTATTCATGACGTGGCATCTTTTAGATAGTGGGCATCATACAGTATTTGCTGCTGTAGGGATTCCAAAGTAATTCATTTGACATTTACAAAAAGCAGCACATGTGTGAAAAGGCATTCATCATGGTAATATTCAGGAAATACTTAAGAGACCTCAAAACAGCTCTGCTCGGGTTAATGGTACCAAATCAATATGACTGATTCAGTCTTTTCCACAAACAGGGTTTGTTTTTATTAACCCTGAGCAGTGCTGAAGGAAATGGTGAATCATAAAAGACGTGGTCTAATGTGTGTGTGTGTGTGTGTGTGTGTGTGTGTGATTGCATGGCACTCACAGGACATAACATCATGCTGTACCATGAACGCAGCCAGGGACGCCACACACTAATGGCGTGGTGACAGCAGGCGGCTCCGACCATAAGCGTGATGAAACGATACTGGCTCTTCACACAATACGGCAACTGTTCGAAAATAAACACATCTGCATTTCAGGTTTTGATGAATTACAGCTGAGACATTAATCAATCATTAGCTGCTCGGTTCTGTACTTTTTGGTGTTGACTTAGAGTATTCTACTTATAAGGGGAAAACCAAACTGATGTAATAAGGTCCAACCACAGGCATCATACTGTAGAAAGGTTTGACATTAATCATTTCTATTAATAAAATGTGTGGATTTTAAAAAGCAACCTTGCACTACATCATTTTAAACACTTTCACCATGCAGTTTAGGCAACTGGCAAAACAATCTCACCACAAAGTCCATGGACCTCTAGATATCACGTGATCTTCATCAACTTCTTGTCCTTTTTGGTTTGAATGTTGAGTTTCAAAGCCTCAGTGCTGAGCTTGGAAATATCACATCACACCTTTAAAGTGATGTCGTAGTGAGATTTGTCAACTGTTATTTCTGAGAATTACGACTAATTACTGTTTTTCTCTTCCTCATTTTACACATTAACTCTCAGTTTGTATAGTATTTGAAAACTGATACCTTGTACCTAGTCTTTACCAAATTCAGTCTGCTCTGATGTTGTCTTTTAAACTGTACTGTGGACAACATAATTTCAGACAGGAACTCGTTACTACAAAGCCAAGCTCACGCTATCACGTTGCTTGTGGGTAGAGGAAGCAGACATGCCACACATTTACCACAGTACAGCATCTGTCAGTAATGAGCTTTGCAGCTCTCATCATGAAGCCTGCATGTGTGTCTCGCACATGTTCTGTACAATGTACGCAGCCGTGTGTCTCGTATGCACGCACATGTTCTGTACAATGTACGCAGCACGCATGAATGAATCTTTGCAACTGTATGCAAAATGCATGTGTGCATCAGTGTTTAGTCTGCATGTCACATTTGCAAAACCAAATGTGTGTGTGTGTGTGTGTGTGTGTGTGTGTGTGTGTGTGTGTGTGTGTATGTTAATGTGTCACAAAAGGGAACCATGGCACACATCTCTTCACTTCCTGTTGTCTATGAGAGCAACTTAGAAAACCACAGGTGGGTCACATGACCTGCCAAGTCTTCCACTTTGTGTGTTTAAGTTTGTTGTACATGAAATTCATGTAATGATGCTGAAGAAACTCTTCCCATAAAAGGCATGCAGCAATCAAAAAGAGGAAGAGGAAGGACAAGAGGAAGAAGGTGGACGGAGAGGTGATGGACGTGACAGAGCAGAACTGCAGTCTAGTTACGGTGGCGAATGGTGGTGAGTCTGTTGAGCTCTTACACTCTTTGTTTATTTAACTTCTATAAATTTGAAATAAGCTTGTAAAGACACACTTTAATCTAAAGCTAAAGCAATGTGGACAATAGAAGGTTGTATTTTCTGACAGCAAATTGTAGTTGTATGATCAGGTGTGTCATAATAAATATAGTATTTGCAAGCAAAGTATAAGAATCCAATTGCATTTCTTGAGGTAAAACAACAACAAAGAGTACATTCAAGTATAAAGCAGAGACTGGGTAACTGATTATTGTCCCACTTCTTTGTTTTGTGTCATTCAGCTTATCCTGTACGGTGGACTGAGGAAGCACTTCTCCCTTTCTTCACAGATGAGAGTCTGCAGGTCACCATGGACGCCCAACACCCTTCTGCCTCCCACAGCATTGCTCCTGCTCTCCCAGAACTTAGACTGGTCCTCCTGGGAAAGAAAGGAACTGGGAAAAGTGCAGCAGGCAACACCATCCTAGGAGGAGTAGGGGGGTTTGAGAGCGGGAAGCCTACAGAGGAGTGTGTGAAAAGGCGAGCCGATGTGGCGGGGGGGAAAGGGTGGACACCCCTGGGTGGGAGTGGTACTACCCACTGAACAGCACCCCGAACTGGGTAAGGAGAGAAACTTTACGGAGTGTGTCACTTTGTCCTCCTGGACCTCACGCTGTGCTCCTGGTGGTTCGTTCCTGCGCTTCAGTGACAGAGCGCTACATCGAGGAGATAGAGGAGCACCTGGAGCCACTGGGAAAAGGAGTTTGGAAGCATATCATGCTGCTGTTCACCAGAGGAGACGAACTGGGCCTGATGTCCATGGAGCAACGAATCCTGACGAGTGGGCCAGCGCTCCAGAAACTGCTCCGGAAGTGTGGGAACAGATACCATGTTGTGAACAATCGAAGTAAAGGAGATGGGACACAGGTTAAAGAGCTGATAAGGAAGCTGGAGCAGATGGTGGGAGGGAAGAAGGAGGGAGGAAATCACCTAGAGATGAATAATACAGTTCTGTTAGGTCTGGAGGCAGACGGGAAGAGGAGAGCCAGAGAAAGGAGGAAGAAGCAAAGACAGATGGAGGCACAGATGCAAAGAGGGACCATCAAAGCTGCTCTAATGAGTGAGTTCTTCAGACTGTTTAATTTATAAGAAGTCTCAAGTCCTTTCAAGCACACAAAATCATTTCAGTTCATAATAAGGCACAGAAAGTGTTCAGTGCCACATTTTCCAGAACATGGTGAATGCATTGGAAAATACTGTAATACCAGATCAAATGGGTGACACTAATTTGAAAGGGAAGCTCTACTCATTGCTTTGGGCTTATTGCTTTGGTTTCACTGGACAGTTCCTTTATTTTTGAGGTTAAATTATCAAGAATGACAGTTTGACTTTTATTCATTACGTGACTAAGAACACAGTGATGGTAATGCTGCTCTTTGCCTGCTGAAGGTGTAAACAGTTCACTAACATGTTAGCCACAATAAATTCTAAGCTGTGTAGCTATCTGTCTGCTTGTTTCCCACCCTAATCACCAAACAGCTGATACAGGTACTGCTGAACTCTGCAGCTTTACAAAGCTTTGCCTCACTGTTTTGGTCTTATGGCTCAAACATTTGTTGTATGATTGCTGTATGTTTCCTTGACTATAGGCAGCTACTTAAATCATGAAATTTCAGTTAAACCCACTTCTTGCCCAGCACCAAAAAATAGACAAAGTCAAATATCTTGGATGAATATTGCACTTGCTTTTGTTCAATTATTTGCTAAACGCATGATCCAAAACAACCATATAAACCATTGAAGTGAGGGTAGTTTAGTCAGCTTGTTTTGAGTGTTTCTGTCACCTAGTGGCAAAAAGTTAATGCAGCTTCAACATGACCTTCCTTTATTTCAACACAGATGGGTGACAAATTAAAGAAGAACCCATCAATAAGTGTCTCGGTAAGGTTTTGGGCCACTACATGCCACTAGAACAGCTTCAGTGCACCTTGGCATTGACTCTCCAAGTCTCTGAACTCCACTGGAAGGATGAACTCCATTCTTCCAACAGATACTCCCTCATGTGGTGTTTTGATGATAGTGGTGGGAACACTGTCTAACACATCACTCTAAAATCTCCCATAGGTGCTCAGTTTGGTTGAGATCTGCTGACTGTAAAGGCCACAGCATATGATTCACATCATATTCATACACATCAAAATGTTCAGTGACCCCTTGTGCCCTGTGGGTGGAGGCACTTGTCGTCCTGGAAGGGAAACTCATTCAAGTTTTTCCTTTAATTTGTCACCTGTCTGTGATATTGTGATAGTAGCACACAGTAAAAAAATAACAGTTTCTGTACCTTTCTCCTGACCAGGCGATGGTCCTCAGGGTGCCGAATTAGATGCCCACCAATCCTTCTCCAAGGCTCCCCGACGTCTACCTGAGGTCAGACTCATTCTCCTTGGTGAGCGGGAAACTGGTAAGAGTTCTGCCGCAAATACCATCCTTGGCCAAATGGGCTTCTTCCAAGTGGGTGTGGTAACAGATGAGTGCATCCGTCAGCAAGCGGAGGTGGCCGTGCGGCTGGTGACTGTGGTAGACACACCGGGCTGGGAGGCAGGTGTGGCGGGTGTTACACCTGAGAGAGTGAAGAGAGAAATTGTTGGTAGTGTGGCCCTCTGCCCTCCAGGGCCCCATGCACTCCTCCTGACTCTAAGGGTGGACACGCTGGTACAGGTGGGACATATAAGGGAACACCTGGAGCTTTTTGGTGAGGGTGTATGGAGACACACACTCCTGCTGTTCACCCATGCCGATCAGCTTCGAGAGGGGGTGGATATTGAGCAGTATATCCAGAGTGGAGGCAGGGACATGCAGTGGCTGCTGGAGAAGTGCAGGGGCAGGCATCATGTCATCAGCAGCGTAGATGGAGGAAAAGGAAGCAGAGGCTCCACTACGGTGACAGAGCTCCTGGAAAAGGTGGAAAAGATGGCGACAATGAACAGGTCTGAGGCTTTCTCTAGTCTGGTTCAGGAGGTCAGAGATCTGAGCCAACAACGGAATGAAAAGTTCAACCAGCGCCTGAAGGAGATGGGAGATAAGATCATTCGTCAGGAGGCGGAGTTGAAGAATATGAGAGAGAGGGAGATGAAGAGCATCAGGTGGTTTTTTGATAGAAAAAAGAAGGTGAAATCACCCGGGAAGGCGGACATTCAAAGAGAAGAAGAGGAGGATGAGGACAGGAGATTTGGTGAAAGGAAAAATGATATTGGAGAGCTGGAGGAGAGGATGAGATGGCTGACAGAGGATAAAGAGAGAGAAATTCAGGATCTGAGCACAGAAAATGACAGGATGCATGTAGCACTAAAGCAAAGTAATAAAGAAAGGGACGAGGTGATGCTCAAACTGGAGCTAAGAGATAGAGAGATCGAGGAGCTGAAAGAAAGAACTGACGAGCAGCAACTGAAGCTTCTCAACCTTGAACGTGCAGGTGTAGAAAATGAACATGAGAGAAAACAGAGGGAGGCTGTAATTAGAACAAAAATGCAAGAGTGGAGGGACGAAGTAAAGAAACTGGAGGAATCTATAGAGCTGCACAAGAAAGAGAAAGCAGAGTGGATGGCAAAAGCTGATCATTTAAAAGCTAAAATAGATGAGACTAAAAGACACTATGATGATGTTCTCAAGAGAAAAGAAGAAGAAAAAGACAGAGATATGACAGAGATGGAACAAAAACTAAAAAAAGAGATGCACATAAAACTGCTTGAAAAAGACAAAGAGCTGGAAGAACTGAGAAATAAAGCCTTGGATGAAAAGCAGATAACTCTCAATAACATAAAGCAACATGAAAAAGATTGGGAAAGAAAAGTTGCAGAAATTAAATCACAACACAAGCAAGAGCTAGAGAGAAAAATGCAGGAGAAAGAAAGAGAGATCCAAGACATGAAACTGCAGCACCAGGAAGAAATGGCCATAAAAATCAGTGAAACAGAAGAAATGATTGAGACTATGAAAATTCAACATCAAGAGAAACTAGACCAAAAGTTGAAAGAAAAAGCAGATGATATGCAAAGGGTCAAACAACAGCATGACACAGACATAAGGGACATACAGCAAGAAAGACAAAGAGAGATTGCAGAGCTGAAAGAGCATTTTAGAAAAGAAAATAAGAAACATACGGAAGCAGCGAAGAAAGAGTTAACAGGGCTGGAACAAAAGCACCTTGTCAAAATAGAAGAAAACATGCTAGAAAATGAAAAAGACAAGGAAAAGATTTATCTAAACCATAAAAAAGACATGGCACAAAAGATGCAAGAGGCAGACGAAGAAAAAGAAGCATTAAAACGGCAGCATCAGGAAGAAATGGCAAGAAAGATAAACGAAATGGAAAAACTGATGGAGGCAAGGGGGGTTGAACACCAGGAAGAAATGAACAGAAAAGTGAAAGAAAAGGAAGAAGAGGTAGGAAGAGTTCAACAACAGTTCACTAAAAAAATAAGTGACATAGAGCAAGAAAGACTAAAAGAGACTAAAAAGCTGAAAGAACAGTTCGCAAAGGAAATAGAGAGAGAGTCACAGAGAAGACAAACAGAGATAAAAGAATTACAGCAAAAGTGTGCTGCCCAAATAAAAGAAAAAGTGCTAGAAAGTGAAAAAGAGAAGGAAATGATTACTCAAAATAATGAAAAGTACATTTTGGAACAACTACAAGAGAGAGACAGGCTGACAGAGGAGTTAAAGCATCAGCACGTTAAAGAAATTGAAGAAAAAAGGCAAGAATGGAAAAAGGAAAAAGAAAGATACAAGAAAGAAATGGAGGAAAGGGTGGATGAAAAGGAAAATGAGATTAGGGAGATGAAACTAAAGGTCAAAGAACTCAGCAACAAGCTGCTACAAAGGGAAGTGAAAGAAATAGATCATTTAAATTACAAAACAGAAATGGAGCAATCACTTGAAGAAAAAGAAAGAGAAGTGGAAGAGATAAAAGAACATTTTAAACAACTAGAACAAACCCTGCGACAGACAGAGGAGAAAGGAGAAAGAGATCAATTAAATCACAAAAAACAGATGGCGCAAAAACTGCAAGAAAACGAACGAGCAATAAAAAAGTTGAACCAGCATATAAAGGATATCGATGAAATTCTGCAAAGAAAAGACGAAGAGAGAGGGGAAATCATTCTAAGCCAAAAGAAAGAGGCAGAGCGACGACTGCAAGACATGGAGAGAGAGATGGAGGGGGTGAAACAACAGCTTTTAAATGAATTGGAGAGAAAAATAAAAGAAAAAGAAACAGAGATCCAAAGTATTACACAGCAGGCTGACTCCAGGGAGGTGAGATGGAAGGAAGAGCAGAAGAAGAAGGACGAGAAAGGACAAAATGAGATGAACAGACTGATAGAAATCATTGACAAGAAAACTAAAGAAATAACAGAAGCACAGTGTCTCCTTGCACAGAGAGACAGTGAGATTGAGGAGGCAAAAAAGACATGTGCAAACTTCTTAAAAGACATTGAAGCGCTTAAAGAAAGCAATAAAAACCAGGCCTCCAGTATTACTGAAATACAAAAGCATCACACAGAGCAGGAAAGAAAAAAAGATGCTGAAATGATGGAAAAGCTGCAAGAGAAAGAAGTGGAGCTCAACCACCTGAGACAGAGAGACACAGAAAATGAAATGGAGATTGTCCAACTGAGGCTGACCATGGAGCAAACAAAGTCAGAACTGAAGGAGCTCACAAGCAAAATGGAAAAGGAAATGTCAAGCATGATCCAGGAATATGAAAAGGAGATTACAAGACGAAACCAGAGCCTACAATCAGTTGCAAAGGAGAAGGATGACGCTATAAGTTGTTTGGAAGAAGAAAGTCGGCAAAGTATCGCGGACATCACCAAGAAATATGAGAAAAGTCAAAAGAGGGCTGAGGAGCTGCAGGAGCAAATGGAAAATCTGAAAATTAAGTTTGAATCACTGAAGGACAGTGAAGAGGAAGTTAGGATATACCTCAGAAGATACGAAGAGCAGGTAAAGAGCAAAGAATCTGAAATCCACAGTGCTCTTAAAGAGAAAGATCTGGAGGTCAGGGCATTAAAGGGGGCAAATGACAAACTACAAGTAGAGATAGAAAGGATGAAAAAGAAAGAAGATGAGGCAGAAACACGGATGGGTGAGCTGAGAGAGCATTTTGAGAGACAGTTGATGGAGAAACAGCACGAGTTCAGAATTAGGGCTGAGGAGACTGACAAGAAATTCTTAGAAAGAGAAAAAAAAATAGGGGAAAGGGAGCAGGATGTGAGCAGAAACATAGAAGAGCTGAGCAAAAGAGGATATCACCTGGATGCAAAACAGAAAGAGCTTGATGAAAAGGAGGTAGAGCTTGAAAGTAAGGAAAAAGAACTTAGAAAACTGGAAACGACTCTAGAAATGCAGCAAAAAGAACAAGAGAAAAATGACAAATATCAGCAAGATGTGAAAATTAGAGCACAAAATATTGAGAAAAAGGAAAGGGAGCTGGATAGTTTGCTCAGAGCTCTGGAGGGCAAACAGGAGGAGTTAAACTCCCTTGGTCATGATCTTCAGAATAAGGTAAAAGGGCTGAAAAACCAAGGAAAAGAACTAAAAAACAGGGAGCACTACTTAAAAACTGAAGAGCAGGAGTTGCTCAACTGGAAGTCAGAGTTGCAGATGCGAAATGAGCATGTAACTTCCACAACTCAGCAGCTAGATGAGATGGGGCGAGATCTGGCTTTGCTAAAGGAAGAACTTCACAATAAAGAGAGAAACTTAAAGATCTTTTTTAAAAAACTGAACAAATGGGAGCAGAGTCTCATAGCCCGAGAGGCAGAGATGCTTAAAAAAGAGCAGAGAGATTTAGAGAAAGGACATGAGGTTGACAACAACATGAGAGTGAATGTTTTCAGTCTGGAAGCAGGAGACAACGTCCATTCAGTGTTCCAAGAGGTCACTGACAGAAGGGAAGGGAGAGGAGAGTCAGATGAAGGTGAAACTGCAAACAATAGGGAGGATCAGATGACAAAAACAGCATCATCAGCCACAGAGAGCAATAACTGTCAGCATGAAACACTAGAGATGGCAGAGGAAAAGGAAGGGATGAGAGGAACAGGAGGAGAGACAAGGAAGAATAAAGACAGAGAGGACAGAGAAAAGTAAACGGTCATTAGGGATTTCATGTTGTTATCTCCAAGTCAGGGTTACAGAAGCTCAAATAACACTCTCCTGGGTCAGATTTGAGAGTGACGGTGTTAGGGGAGTCTTAGTCGTCTCGCTCACCAGCTGGAGTCACCATCCTGGGTGGAGACACGTCCAAACTTGATGGATCTACCTTCAGGTCCTGGAGAGGTCAGATAGCCGGGAGAAGCCTTGCAGTTGCAGAGCCCTTAGGTTTGAGGTGGAGAGATGGACCAGATCCAGAAAACGCAGCGCAAAGGAAAGGCATTCTCGACGGCATCTCCTGGTGTCACCCAGGACCTCACATCGTCCTCCTGCTTCTGCCGGCCTTCTTAACCTGCACTCAGAAGTACAGAAGAGCATTGGAGGAGCACATCAGTTTGCTCGGGGAAGAGATTTGGCAGCGCACATTGGTGTTGTTCACATGGGGGGAAACTTTAGGGGTGAGCGCAGAGCAGCACATCCTCAGGAACGGGGAATTAATAGAGCTTATAGAGAGATGTGGTGGCAGGTATCATGTGCTGACCAGGAAGAGAGGCAACTCTATGCCTGAAGGATTGTTTGAGAAGATTGAGGATATGGTGGCTTTGAACAAGGGAGAGCAGCTTTTGGTGTAGAACTGTGAATTAAACTACAAATGTACAAGATACTGTTTATTATCATATCATATGAATGTCTTTGATTAAATGTAATTATTGGTGGAAGAAGTGCTCAGATCCTTTATTAACTGCATGTCAGAGTACCAGTATCACAATGCAAAACTATTCCTACTGCAAGTAAAACTATTGCATTTTAAGTAAAAGTAGTTCCTAACCTCATGTCATATACTGTCCAAAAAAAAAAAAAGCGAGATTGTGAGGTGATTAATTAAACAGAAAAAAGAAGAACAAAGTTGGCTACACCTTTGCTTTTTATTATACTGGGTACTTTTACCTCTTTGCACCTTGAACATCTACTATGTTTACTGTAAATAAACCCATTTGAGAAGCTAGTCTTTGGTGGAACTGCTACTAAGTCACAGACATCTGAAACATGAACACAGGCCCAGACATCTTGGTAAGGGGTCACACAACCAAGTTTAATCTGGATCAGCACATTGTATTTTATAAATGTATTGTGTTTTTTAACATGAAAACTTAATCTGAACACCATCAAATAAATGTAGTGGAGTAAAAAGTGCAATATTTGCTCTGAAACATGATAGAAAAGAATCATAACATAGTAGAACATTGAAAAATCTAAAGCCAAAGTGCCTCAAAATTAAGCTGCTCACCTAATTTAACAACCTGCTCATCAAACAATCCATATAAATATTAATTAGCAAGCAAGCTGGTGCAAATCCAGAGGAAGTCAAACGTCTAATGAAGTTGACTTACTACACACAACGCAAACAAGTCAATCAGGGGAAAAATATAAAATACCTCCAGGAAGAGTGGCCATTGTGGTTCAATGAACTTGGCATGGAAGTTCACTTTGGAGAAGTATAGACTGTAACAAAGTTTAAAGTGATGAGGGGTGAACTGTGTGGTTGCTCTGAAGACGTCAAAGAGATGGTGCTGCTTCTGCGCTGTCCTACTTTGATGAGAAGAAAGAAGCTATGTTCTGTTACGTGGAGGACACATGGCTGTCAGGGGACGTACAGATGGGCCAAGTTCACTTGACTCCCACCATTGTTGTGTGTGGTAAGTTAACATTTTTTGGTTTTTTATTTCTCTCATTTCTGACTGCACACTTTCATATAGCACATTGTTTTGTGTTACTGTATGCTCTGAAGGGTAGGTCAGTTGGCATTAAAAGGCCTTGCATTTCTCTTTTCAAAACCTGCACATACACTGATTCCTGTATTGATGATAAGCAAAAAAAAAACACCAAGTTGCTTCAGAAAGTAATCATACCCCTTCACTTTTTCTATATTTTACTGTTGTGTAAATTTTTTTAAACTTAAAAATAGTGCAATTTTTGCCCATCAAGCTACACATAATTTATAATGAGAAAGTGAACACCTTTTTTTAAAAAATCTGCTAATTATACAGTGTTTCCCCTATAAAATGCCCAGAGAGTTTAATTTTGTCATGATCACAGACTCCTCTAAATGCTGTTTCACAAACTCCAGACTGTGGCTTCTATCAAAATGTTCTTCTATAAAGTCCTGATCGATCGAGGCTTACTGAGACGGTCATCCTTCTGCTATGTTCTACTGTCTCTTCAGAGGAGTTGTGAAGCTTTGTTTGTGACTTCAGGGTCGGGGTGTGTTGATCTTTTTTGTTGTTGTTGTTCATTACTTTTTTATTTTTAGGACGATCCTGTTATTCTTCAAGACAGTTCATGCTGAGTGTGGATCGAAACATTGTACAGGACAACATCTCCTCCTTCGTTTCTGCCCTGTGCATGATGTTTGGGAGCTATTATTGCTTCAACATCCATTACCCATCAGAGCTGGCATCTACGCTGGAGTTTCTGAAGAGGTGTGTCTTTGTAATGGCTTTATCCAATAGCACGGCCGAAACGCTCAGAGGGACCAACCCCATGCTGCCACTTGAAGCTGCCATTGCACAGAGTTTCCCTGTGCACCTCTTACAGAATGTACCAAAAACAATGAATCCACTTCTTGAAAATGAAATGCACTCTGTTTAGGGCTGAACTCACCTCACTCCCCTGCTCCAGGCAGTGTCGGGTCAAATTGCGGAGGGTTCCCTCGGCCAGCAGCAGGTTCTCGTGGGGCTCACAAACCAGCGTGAAGCCCAGACTCTGGACTCCAAGCCACAGAGTGCTCATCTCCTCAGAGAAGGGGTCTCCAGCTCTCAGATGGTGCACCGCTGTCGGCCTCCTGCAGGGCAGAGTCTCCTCACCCGGCACCAGCTCCACCAGCAGCCGACCAGAGGACACTCCTGGGACACTGGCCTAAAGAAAGACATGGACAGAATCATCCAACAGATTTTTAGCTTTAAAAATGTCATACACAATATCTAGTCAATATTTTAAATGATGTCTTAAGATGTAATATTTTGTCTGAAAAACAAGGAACAGTGGGGGCACTATAGCAGAGGACAGGAGAGGGCGCTGCTGTTCTAGCACAGAGTTTCTACAGGTAGTCAAAGAGCTGCTGCAAAAAACATAAGATGTTTACATCATCCTCACTAATCCCAAGTGTATAAAGAGGACGCACTGTGGTAGAAAATGAATAGACAACTACTTTGAAATTTGATTTAATGAAGTCGTTTATCAAGAAAATGTGAAACATCCTCTTGTTCCAGTTTCTCAGTGTGGTCATTTGTCAAACATACACCGGCAAATGACAGATGTTCCCTCATGTGGTGTTTTGATGATGGTGGTGGAGACGATGTCTAACACGTCGCTCCAACATCTGCAACTGGGCTGAGACCTGGTGGCTGGGAAGGCCAGGGCATCTGGTTCACATCATGGTCATCCTCATCAGACCAGTCAGCGACCCCTGGTATCCTGTGGACGGGGGCTCTGTCATCCTGGAGGAGACCACTCAGTTAACCAGGCCTTTCCCTTAGCTTGTCACCTGTCTGTATAGCAGCATCTTCATGTTGCACCTAGTTGTGGATGAGCTAATTAAATATTTCAAGTCAAGTCTTTATTGTCATTATGCATAGCATAACAAATTTTTTTCTGGCAGCTCTCAGCTTAAAAGACAGACACTTTGTTTACATAACACACAATTGTATAAGTCAGTATAAAAATATGAACAAATAAAAAGGGATGTATGGGACCTAATCAGGTCAGCAGCATGTCAGCAGCAAAAGAGTGTAGTAACATTATAAGGTGCAGCTCAGTGCAAATCTCAGGCTGTAGGAGGGGGTGTGAGCATGGGTGTGTGTCTGTCCATAGGGGGGAGGTTGTGTGTGTGACTGGGGGTTAGGGGGGTGATTGATTTCACAGCTCTGGGGAAGAAGCTCAGTCAGTTTGTTTTAGTCTTTATATTCCTGTACCTTTTCCTGGAGGGAAGAGGCACAAACAGACTGTTGCCTGGGTGGGTGGGGTCTGCAGCAATCCGTCTGGCCCTCCTCTGGATCCGGTCAGTGTATAGTGAGTCCAGATCCAGAAGAGGACTCCCTACGATGCCCTGAGCTGTTCTCACCATCCGGGTCAAGTCCTTTCTGTCCTGTGCAGTGCAGCTCCCGTACCACACCGTCACACTGAGACAGAGGATGCTCTCTACTGTCGCTCTGTAGAAGTTTGGGAGCCACTGCGAGGAGAGACCAGGGAGCATACATTGTCTTCTTGGACCTCCTATAATCCACAATGACCTCTTTAGTCTTGCTGGTGTTCAGGACAAGATTGTTCTCTGAACACCACTTTGTCAGGTGCTGGATCTCCTCTGTAGTGTGAGTCTCATCATTGTCTGAGATGAGACCCACTATGGTGGTGTCGTCTGCGAACTTCACTACTGTGTTTGTGGGGTGAATGGCATCACAGTGATGGGTAAACAGAGTGAAGAGAACTGGGCTGAGCACACAGCCCTGTGGTGTGCCTGTGTTCAGGACCAGTGTGGATGATGTGCAGCTTCCGATTCTCACCACTTGAGGCCTGTTAG